TCTTTGTAAGTGGGCAAACCTGCAAAATCAGCAAGGGCTCAAATACTAATTTCCCCCACTGTAAGTAAATAAGCTGTAAAGGTCTTCTTGGCTAGTATGTTTCTGATACCTCTAATCCAAACTTGTAAAAGGCGTAGTTGAGGAGGAACTTGAAACAGGGGAGCAGGCCTTTGTCCAGCGTGTCCCTCTTGGCGGCGGGGAACAGAGACGGTATGAGGGGGGGGGAGCGCTGCAGCTGCCGGTAATAGTGAGCCTGGTGACGATACACTGTCGCCTCAAAGACCAACAGCATCAGCACAATCAGGTGGTTCTGGAGAAACATTCAGACACACACATTCAGAGTCTGGACCAGGTCCAGAGTCTGGACCAGCTGGGGCTCAAAGAGGGTCCTTTTCAGTGGGATGACAGTAGATGATGACATGGATCACATGACCTTTCACAAAATATAAAGGTGTCACGTCTGGGGGAATGTCTGGTGTGTAGTCATGTCTTGATTACCTATTGTGTTCACCTGGGGTTCCCCTCCCTCATGTGTTTAAATAGTCCTCGTTTCCCCTTGTCTTGTGCGAGTGCGTTTTCGTCCGTTTCGTCTTTTCGTCCGTCTTGTTTCGTCTGTCTTTCGTCACCCCCACGTCAGTCCAGGTTTGCTTTTGCCACAGTCTTGTTGTTCTTTATTTTGTTACTTTGCCATTGTCATTGTTTTACCACAGCCTTGTCACAGTTTTGTTAATCTTTATTTTGTTACTTTGCCACAGTCTGGTTTACTTATTACTTTGTTACTTTGCTCATAGTTTGCCACAGCCGTGTTTTTGTACCATGTCTGGACTTCCACCTTTTTGTTAGAATAAACCTTGTCTTGCGTCATCTCCGCACCTGAGTCCTCCCTCCAAGAACCCACCTTCATGACAAAAGGAAGCATTTTGTGTGGAAGAATACATCCTGTCTGAAGTCTGAAGTTCCTGATCGCTCTGACCCAAAACTATTATTATCCCTATGCTTGGCATCCTTGTGATGGATTCAGCTGGAAATGGATTTAACCACAGTTTAACACCATTATGGTGCCTACTGTCCAATCCCTGCAAAACAAGTTTTTTTCCCAATTAGACTGGTTTGTTTTGCCCCTCTTGCTGCCTTCATTTAGTTGAGTTGATTGAAGGACTAACAACCACACACACTCACACTAAGGGCAGTTTGGAGTCCAACCAAC